AAGTACATATATATATATATATATATATATATATAAGTGTATTCCTGAGATTCCATCAACCGGATTTCCAGCTTGAGCGTAAATTTGCAAGTGAAGTTATGCACTCATTTGCAAAGTAAGTTGGTGTCAATAGCAGCAAAATGTAAGCTGAATCTCCCGTTTAACGTATCATTCGACTGACATTTAGAAACAAATACACACTACGGGTGCTTCGCTTTATTATTATACAGTTATGATCAACAATAGTGGTCAAAACGTACTGCCAATTCCTCATCACGCAACAACAATCGCAGCAAGAGGCAGATTGGGCGAGCAAGGGATCTATAGGATCCTGCAGTAGGCATATTGCAGCTGACAGCCTTCAGCAAGCGTTGCAGTCCGAGACGTCGGAAACAACGAGCTGACACCTTGGGAAGCGGGGCAGTTGCTTCGATCAGGGCGACTTCCTCTTCTTCATCCTCTGTGTTTAGCTGTTCATCATCATCGGAGTACCCCGGATCGCCGCGGGATGGAACAGCTGACTCAAGGGGGGTGAGTGCGGCTGTGGGTAACACAATTGGAGCCTCGGCTGGAACGTCCTGATCTCCATAGTCTAAACCCTCCATTAAGAGAGTTTGGAAACAATGAAAGAATTCTGCCACACTCAACAGGCGACCAAAGAGAGGTTCCGTAAAGCCGTCAGGCAGATGGAGAGGAGACGTCTGAGGTAGAGCGACACATCTACTGTCCGTAGCGAGCAAGTCTTGATCGTCACACAGGCGGTTGGCTTTAATGCGTTCTAGGCGTTGCTTTTCGCGGTTTGCACGTAAATAGGCCTTCCGTTCCTCGGGTGTCATTGATAAACTACGGAAAAGATAGAATTTAGATGGAGAAATCAGAGATGAACACTGATTGCAGAGACGATAATGGAATTTTCCATAATTCGATAAAAAAATGAGGACAGTATGACTGGCAGGGAATATGCCTACTGTGCAAAACATTTTGCAAATGAAAACGAAACTGTCTGGTGTTGTAAAATGATGTAAAACTTCAACGGAACAAATACCCTCCCATGGTGACCGTTCTCCGTGGATTCCGTGACAGAATATGACGAGTCTGTAAAACGGTTGCCTTCTTCAACGAACTGGATCATTCTGGGCTAACAAATTTCGCAACCTCTTACTCAACTGAAATGAATGGGTCCGATAATTTGACATAGATACATCACATCACGGAAACGAAAACGAGGGCAACCAGCGGAAACCCGAAAAATACCGAGCTGTCGTGCGTTGCTCTAACCCTTGTTCCGACTACATTATATTCAATCTGTATCGCGACTGTGACGCGTTCCAAAGAGTGACTCCACGTGCACGCGTTAGGTTGTTTTATCAGTCAAGTTACTTTCGTCATGAACAGATTGGGCATTAACACAATGTGTGCACCTCCATAATTCATTTAGCTTTACCAAGAAGTGTATATGTACTCAAGAAGCCTCTTATACCAGGTCGGTCAGTGGCTAGAGGTCTGCCTATAGATCTTCTGGTCCTCAAAGCTGGGGGTGAGGCATGCGTGGGGATTTTCTCCTTAAAAACGTAAACTGCTGTGGCGGCGACTACCAATACCTTACGGTTGGGCTTCTTAGGACACTAATCATCCTCCTATTTAGATATTCGTGTGCTGGAAGTATCATAACCCAAATACAACCATGAGTCGTACAATTGCAAATGACCTCATGCCACATCGGTTGTAACCAAGAGCCATCAGCTGGGTCGCCCCACTTGTCGTATACACCAGGACGGGTACTGGTGGCGCAAGTTCATTACGAACTATATGAATCCGGGACAAATATCAGCGAGATGGAGCGCCACCGTTCTAATCCAAATGTGAGAAATTTCTACAAAAATACCCATAGTATCAGCCTGGTAGACTGCGTCTAGCTTGATGATTACTATTATCTTACATAGGTTGATCAATCACCCGTGGAAACCAAGCTGGCCTTCGATTGTCGAGGTGTATGATCACATCCCTCAAGTCAACAGATTAATCGAAGAGGACCGAGGATAACAGGCATCCCCCCATGCCCCGATGGGCTTTGCATAGTCTAGAGTGCGGTGGATGTCATCTACCAGGATAATATCATCAAGATAGTCTACAGATCGCCAATGATTTTCATTGGTACCCAGCAGTCGGTTATTTTCGATGTTGATTGGGATACGTGTTCATGTTCAGATGATCGCGCTGGAGAACAGCGTTGGTTGAATTCAGCAAGCGGGACCGTTCAGAACTATTGCTGTTTTCATGACAGAAGAATGATACTCTTGAGAGTGAAAGATGTACAAGCGGTTGAGCGATGGTGCACTTCGGACTCCTCTTCATTCTAGGACCTTAGACATATCACACCGGTGTTGTCGTCAGTGATTATGCTGGTGAGCGATGACTCATTATCGTCTGCTATGTGAAAATGGTAGGTTTATACTTTCGGGTTTACTCTCCTCAGAAGGATCGCATTTCGAGAAAATTTCGTGACGCTTGAACTGTCTTTTCTCGAAGGGTTCCTCAAAGAGGAAGTACTGTAGATGAAATCATATCGCGGAGCGAATCATGAAGAAACTACTGCATGCCGAGTCTATTTTCACAGGTAGTTAGCTAAATCTTGGATAATGAAAAAAGCGGTTACGGATGCTCCACAGGAGGCATCTCTTGAAGGAACCACCGTCACGCACACACACACAGTTCCAATTCTCAACTTTTCTCATGTCGACAAGTCCTAGTAGGAATCTTGGAATGTCCCAGTATGAAATCAACATTTCACAACAGATATCGAGAGGTCTCAAGAGATCTGTGAGTAGTACGTCAATACATTTTCAGTCTTAAGTTATGTTGATGTGAAGCTGACGTATTCAGGCCAACCACGGACATTGTTGGATCACTATCGAGACATACCAGTGATTCTTGTAGAGACACTTCAACATAAGTAAATTTCTAGTCAGTTGGTTCAAGCTTCTTATTTCACAAGGTGGTATTTCCACTTTTAGCTCAACTATGCTCCCTGTTGAGATGGACCAAGTGGTTAGAGCACGAATTTACTGACCGGAAGGTCAGTAGTTCGAACCCGACCTCTGCCTCTCGACTTCCCTTGTCTAGGCCTGGGCAACCTGGCAGTATCCCAGCCCTCGTGCTTCCTTTGGGTGACATGACAGTTAGGCACCGAAAGGGTGCAACAGCTGAACGATGCTCCCTGTTCAACGTTTCCGTTCCAGTAGTTGTGGTAGGCTACAACAAAAAACATCACCCGAGGACCCGTGCGCCTAAATGCAAGCAGCCTAGAATTATTTGAAACAGAATCATATGGACGGTGAAAACTGGAAGAGTAGGTGGATAAGGACGTACAGCTTTTTATGAAACTGAATCGCCTCTCGCCGCGAGCAGACTTTCTCGCGCAGTTCTGCAGGCAGCCTGGCAATATCTGCGTCACAGAGAATTTTCGCGCATATGTTGATACAGGAAGTAATTAAAGGATTCCCCGAAGACTCCGCAGCTAACTTCATCAGCTGCTGGGCTGCTCGTGGTAGGGCTGGAGGACTTGAGGGCACAAGTTTCGTAGGTGTAGGTCCATCAGTATTCACAGTAGAGGAGGATGGAGTTTGCTTGCCTGCGTTTTTGCTAAACTGGAACAGGGTGACCTGAAATATGATAATGCGGATGTGAGTGGAATGGGTAAAAACTAAGCGGTATAAGCCATCAGAAAATTAGAAACTGAACTGGGACCTCCGATGAGCTTGCACAAAATTTCTTGGGACAGCTAAAGGAATTGTCATGCTTGTAAAATATGGTGCAAATGTTTACCAGTCAATCCGTTTGATTTACACGCCTGTACATTCAGACGGATGTCTGCGTGCTCCTCTGGGAATAAAACTCGAGGGCCGAGCTTTTATCGATCTTTCAATCTTCATCTTTCATGTTCCTCAAGGGAACATTTGCCAACGAGGAACATTGCCTCTCACACAATGTGCACAGTGGACGTCGTTCAATATTGGAAAGATGAGGTGATTTTGACTTGTCAGGAGCAGTCGCAGATTGAGCCACTGATAGACAAAAACCCAAGCATGTGTTTAGGAAATCGCCATCATCAACATCAGTGCTAAGCACCAGTGATTCGGGTTCGTGCTGTGCCTGAAACACAAATACCGAGTCACACGTTGGGGAAGATAAAAGAGCCCTTCGTTCGGTGGTACACTGGTGCTTGAAAGACGAACAATGGCACACGCTGAATTCAGAAAAGCAAAACCAAAGCCATTCAAATTTCAGATGACAGTTATTCCCTCATAAACCTTTTCCTCGGCTCATATTATGGAGTGGGAGTTCGGCTGAGTTCAGTTGGGTAACCATGAACCATGCATGTATTTACAGCAGCTCTGGTCATCGCATACGACAGCGAACAGTGTAGGGTGAAAGAGGACGGTCGGTTCAGAAAACACATGAACACAAAGGTATACTGAATCAATGCTTAGAAATAAGAGAACAGGTGCGACAGTGTCAACCGTGGCGGGAAATCGTCACGTTGGTAATTCTATCTAATGACATGATTTTAAGGAATGCGTTGGAACTATGGAACGGAAAAGAATAAACCGCTTGTTTGATGTATACGGAATGAAAGACCAGGTCGTAGAATTACAGGTAGCTGTAGTACAGCAGCAGAAATCACCTAGTTGACAGCATCATTCCAAAATGTGTAATGCAATGAAACTGCAAGTCAATGATGGTACACATACGGGACCGAAACACAAAACAAAGCAAGAACCCAACATTCGCAACCAAAGACAACTACCAACTCACTTGCTTCATCTTCTTTTTGATAAATTCTTCTGTCGGTGACTTGGCAATATGCTTCTTCATCTGCTTTTTGAATGCCGTTAGAGGGAGTTCGTCCTCAGGCTGTTCGACATTTTCTTCCCTCAAGACCGAGAATCGCTTCCCCCGTTTTACTATCGGAGTTGGAAGGGAGTCAAGAGTACCGTTTTCTACTGGTGTTCCATCGACATTGGCTTGTCGATCGTTTTTTATTAAACGGGCCAAGTACTCAGCTTCAATAGCATTGGACATCTGTTTTAACTGGAAAATTGAAAACGTTCGTAAGAGAGCTTATTACTGTTCAACGTTCGAATTCATGACTCCTCTCACGTCGCTGAACCATCTTTGACAAAAACACAGCTAACGGATACGAAGATGAGACGCTTTTGGAGAGTTATTGATTCCATGCAAGAGCACGGGCTCATTTTGTCCAACTGGAAAAATGAAGGTTAATTCTACGGAAGAATTAGCAACGAATTTTCGAAATAGATCAACAAATCGGTAGAGTATTCTTCGAGTGACCATAATTGATGAAACAAAACCTATTCAAGATATGAACGTAACACACTACTCGTAAGGTGGCTGGAAACTCTTCGACATCCCACGAACGGCTTCACTCTTCTCGGGGCCCATCAAGTGGAAGCAGTCTCCGATTTTCCTCAGCCTTATGTTCCACTTGAATCCAAATTGCACGAAATTATCCGCATACACTCATTTACACACCGATTTGGTTTTCACGAGAGACCCAACTGAATCTTTTGTTTATGGTGTTCTTCACCCTATGAGCAGTATTTTGCGTTTATACAATGCATTGCGACACTGTCGTATCGTACCGATTAAAACATGAAGCGGCCTGGTGTAGCACATCCAGTTGAAGGATATCGTATAACGAGAGATTCATTTGGGTTTCTCGTGAAAATCAAATTGATATGCAAATGATTGTTTCACTCTTCAAAACATTCTCCGGCAATGGTTACACAGGTATTCCCGTCTTATACCTGTCAAATTAACTCTCAGCAAAGATGTAAAATGACTACCATTCACAGTATAACTTGCTAATTTTGATCATATCTGCTAGGTTCGTTGCAGAACTTCCCTCCAGGGGTGCCCTCCTGTTTGTTGCAGATCCTAGGTGACAGTATTATTACATAATGATAATCAGAAGCATTTCTTCGAATACATGCCACTGCTGATGTCGGTTAACACCCAAAGTGCTTTTCCGCAGACGAGAGGTGATGGATATCATTCTGGAGAAGTGTTGCGGTGAATAAAAACCTTAGTGTAGTGTGATTTTACAAATGCATATCGTGTTTAATAAGGGAAACCTGACGGCTTTGTCAAATTGAAACCAACGTAAAAGTTAAGATCACCATTAGGTCTCCTTTATACATTCATTCACGGCCCGGATCCTCGCAAGAACTAGTGACAAGTGTTGTCGCCAGTACTTTAATGTGTGTATTTACACAATAGTTGCTGAATGCATTCCACTACGACAGGTTACCTAATTAAAAATACAGTGCAGATGAGGTGTATAACAGGGAAATGTTTACAAAGTGCAGCCAATACCGAGTACAGTCTACATAGCCTGAGCGGTTCTCCACGCAACACTCTTCGCCAGCTACGACCTAATGCCTCAGCATTGAGAGAGACCAATAAGACTCTTATGTCGCAGTGCCCAGTCTGCAAGGGGTTACTGTATTGCTTCACTTTTGGTACGTGTGGCCCACATCCACAAAAGTATGGTCTTGTCTCCAAAAAAGAATAAATATAATAATAATCGTTCAGCTGTAGCACCCTTTCGGTGCCTAGGTGCCATGCCACTCGCAGGAAGCACGAGGGCTGGGATACTGCCAGGTTGCCCAAGCCTAGACAGGGGAAGTCGAGCGGCAGAGGTTGGGTTCGAACCATGGACCCGGCCAGTAAATTTGCGCTCCAACCACTTCGGCCATCTCGCCCCCCTCTCCAAAAGAAGCATGAAGTGAAGTCACCAAGTGGGCACGTAAACACAGTTATGAGGTATCGCGTTTCGTGAAAAGCCACTTTTGATGGAAGAATGGTCGTTGTCGTCGAAATCAAAACATCAGTGGTAAATACCCGTACCAAACAGGCATTTGAAGGAGGGGCTGGTAGCCACCTTATGTATTTGAAGAGGTAATTTGATACACGTGGCAGAAGGGGACTAAACACATAAGGCTAACCTTCACACGGTCCACTTCAAAACCAGGGCCTTTTGATGTGATTTTGTAACGGCGTAAGAGGTCTGCATCTACAATCCATGGACCACTGAAGTTCGGTCCGTAACGCATTGCGTGGGCACGGATAAACATTCGAATGTGTTCTTTCGATGGAATTCTATTTAGGCGACTGAAATAAAGAATTTACGAGTCATTTAAACGGAGGTACGGAACTTAACTTACTCGATCGAACAGGCTGGAACATCGTTCACAACGAGAGGGACATCTGACAACACTTTGACAGTGTATGCGTAATTTTTCTGGCAGTATATCTATTTAACAGTTGAAGTATCCTACTTTGACGGGAGTTGTCCGCTTCGTCACGTTTTCTTTATCACTGCTGTTAGGGGAGGTATTCGAACCTGCGTTGCTAACAGTCATCTAAAACACCAAGGTAAAGACACCTGGCAACTACATACCGAATCGACGGGGTGGCTTTTGTCTACATCATTGATAATCCCATGGATTCTGCAAAATAGCGTTAAAACTGAGTGAAAATTCCAAATTACGGTTGGCTAGAAACGGAATCCACTTTGAGTTTGACGGGTTCGGTCACATAAAACTGTTCTTGGAGTCCAGTCCAACAACTATGGACCAAATTCTCAAGGGGGAGCGTACCTGAGGGAAGTAGATGTGCGTCAAAGGGATTACTTACTCAAGTGAACGGTTTCCAACACAGGTTTTTCAAAGCATTTCGGAAAATTTTTCTTTAGGATACGATGGGAAGTTGCCTCACTCTTAGCAGCATCCCGGTAGGTTAGGTTGCTTCTTCCCGTAACTCGACAAGTCCATACATTTCTGCCGTAAACTGTGGTTTTCTGTTGCAATTCTTGGGCCGATGTGCAAACTTCTTGTGTTTCAGGCACGATAAATGGCGGTTTGTCTTCATCTTCTTTCGATTCGACGGGGTTTTGCTCTTCGCGAACCACTTTCTTCTTCTTCCAAATGGGATTCAGTACATGCAACCTAGCCCCCAGTAAAGGCATGTGTGGGGTTTTACAGGCCCAAGTTAGGTGAACGCGCGAACCTATTAATGATGAGAAAATATCAGGTAAAAGAATCGGTAAGTACAGTTTTGAGCCGGTTTCCGACTGACCTATCGAAACTGACGAACTAGTTCAGGGGCATGGACGATCATGGTAGGACAATGTTCATTTCAGTTAACAAATACTATTGCTCAAAACACATTATTGAAATTTCAGCCGATGATGATATCGTACAGTACAGGCCAGCCTGGTTCATGTGCAATAGAGCCGAATCCACAAAGAACGGATTTCACTGCGATATCCAGAGTCACACCATACTAGGCAATAGAGCTCCAGACCCCTGTTTCCTGATCCTCAAGTAAAATCAGTACAGATGTATCCTCGAAAAACGTAACCATTTTGGTATTTCTGCTTTTTTGAACAAGGGACTTGGGACTTAAGGTGCGAGATTACTGACCAGATCTGTAGTCTTTAATATATATATATATATATATATATATATATATATAGGCACGCTGGAAT